ACATTCGAAGAGGCTTTTGCTTGAGAGGGTATTCCTTGCCTTTGTTGTCTCTCATTTTAGACAATATAAGAGGGATTGATGCTTGGGAAACTTTCAAATAAGTGGGTCGGATGATGATTTGACATTTTACAATTTAGGATATTTGGCAAGAAAACAACAAAATGGTCTTTAATAAAGGAAAGAACTTTGATTAGAATTCAATATCACAATTAGAGGCTTTGTTTATCTCCTATCGTGTTGGGAAGCTCACCCATAATAATGTTAGTTGTCTATCTAAGGTGCAGATTGTTTAGATGGGTGCTTCAATGATAAAAATAGTTTAGTTTTTTTTTTACTCTGGATGGAATATTTAAACGACTTTTATTTGCACCAGACTATAGGAGTTTAAGTCTTGGGTTAATGTCTGTATTGTTCTGATTTATTTTGGATAGTAATGTAAGATGTGTACTAGGTTGCAGTGTTTTACTAGTTGTGGCTGGCCCACTTCATCTTAACCGAATATATCTTGTATTCGTGGTACTGTTATATATACCAACTTTCCATGTTAATGATTTTTGTTCTTTTGACTTTTCAAAAGAAAGAAAGAAAGAACGATTCTAATAAAAATAATAGAAGAGAACATTCAAAGAGGTTTCTAACTAGGGGGAATATATCAATGTAATGAGTCATACTTCGGAAAAAAAAATGTTACAAATTTACATGTGAACTTGAAGTCCACGTCGATTAAGAATGGACTAGATAATGTTAATATAATAGAACATTAAGAAAAGGATTTTGACGAAGGAAGCAAAATATGACGATATTGAGACATACTTCGCAAAAAATAGTATAAGATAAAGATAGTATAAGATATCATACTCATACTTAATAGGAAAAATGTAAAAAGTTCATATGTGAGTTTGAAGTTCACATTAAATAAGAACAAGCTTTATAAAAATAGTACAAGAGAACGTTAAAATAGGCTTCTGACTACAAGAGAATGCTAAAAATTCACATGTAAGTTTGCATCCACACTTATTAAGAATGAGCTATATCCATATATTTAATGTCTTAAGATTTCTAGTAAAGATACAATGTCATATTCTCTTTTGTGCAGAGTTGTGAAACCTTGTGCAATTAAGGCAATTGTATAAGGCCTCAATGTTATCTAAGGCACCAAAAATATTTTATAACTTTAAATAAATTTTACTTATTATTGATTATTATTATTTTGTTGATTTTTAAAATAATTTTTCATTGAGTTTTTTATTACATAAAAATTATAAATCTATTATTAACATAATATTACCTTCAATTCCTAATTTTATGCTAAAGTCGTTGCTATAAATTTTTAATAATCTATACATCAATAAGTGTATTAATTATTTTTACAATTATGTATTTTAAAACTTTATAAAGTATCGAGTATTATAGTTTTCTCTTCTCTCTTGCCTCTTTGTTTCTGTCTTAGACACCCCCTCTCTTTTTAACTTATTATTTTTGTTACTAATTTTGTATTGTCTTCCTTAACTGAATATGGATAGCTTTGATTTATTTCTAGAACTAAAGATATAGAAAAAAATGATAATAATAAAAGAAAATAAACCTGATTATCAAAGGATAACATATTCCAAATAGATGCATTACTTAGGAAATTATCCACCATACTCTAAATATTGCTTTTAAAATAAAAATTATTTAAATTTATTTGAGATTATAATTCTATACTAAAATACATTAGACAAATGAGGCATTTTATCGACTAAAAATGTAATAATTACCTAACAATGAAACTTCAATAAATAATTTTACAAGGTGAAAAGTTAAGAGTGAAATGAAAAGTGATGGGCTCTATTACCCCTCAACCTCAAACATATTTAGCTTTAAGGTTCCACAATTTCTAAACAATTTTGTAATATGTTATTTGGGGGCATTGGTGCAGGTTTTCTTACCTAATTTTCGGGTCCCCCTCACCCCAACACAAGATTATAAAAATTTTGAATTAACTTCAACATTGGGATTCGCAAATATTTTGTAATGCAAACTAAGTTTAGTTCATATGATGTGTACTATTCTTTTGCAAATGTAAACTACGCTTTTGAAAAGTGTTTGATTAGTTAATAATGAAGCATATGAAATGCTTCAAAATATTGAGACTTTCGTAATTATGATTTGTCATGCAAGTCAAATTTTAGTCATTAAAAATGAAAAATAGAAGCCTTAAATTGAATGTCAAATAATATTTAGCTTGCATCTTAAAATGATTTAAACCAAGTAAGAACTATGTGTATGTTTGTGAATCTTTTTTTTTTTTTAAGAAAATCTTTTTTTTAAAATGTTCTTACAGTAAGTTTTTAAAAATTAATAATTATTTATTTAAAATAAGATCAATCAAACACTCACTATCTGGTAGAATTAATTTTCATTCTTTTTATCTTTCACGATTTGTCTCCATACCTAATTAGGATTATGTGTATTCATATAAATAAGGATTAATATTTCTATATTTTGGATCACATCATAACCCATTGAATACATCATATCATATTAAGGCAATATCAATTTTCTCCCTCAATGACTAACATTGTATCAAAGTGGTACTATCTTTGGTGACTTATCCTATCACTATTCCATTGTTGAGTTCATTGAAACTTGTGTCTCCATTTCATTTCTATGACTATGTTTTTTCCTATTGATTAACCGTCTCTCTTGTCATGTTTCATCTTCAGGTTCCTATCACCCTCTTTGCTGTCATTGTTAGATAGTTTCTAGGTACCATCATCTCTGATGCTGTTTCTCCATCAACTACAATTGTTCTGCTATTGGCCTCCCTATATAGCGATGTTTTTAAGTGTCAACCATCTTGTCAAGGCCATCTAGCCTGCTCTTCAGGATGATAATCATTCCAATAGTTTTGCTAAGTTGTCATTCTGTCAATGTTCATCTCTCTAATATCTTCAGTATCCCTGAGTTCCCTTTCTAGCCATGTTTGGTGGGACCAATATTATATTTTTCTTTTGTTAAAGGTTTAAGTATTACAAGTTTAAGGTCTACTGAACTTTAACATGAGTGCTAGAATGTGTGCAGAATATGTAATACTATCTAGATTGTATATAGCTTAGAATAATTTATCATATATTATATTACAGGATTATTTTCTATATTTCTAATATTTTAACATTGATTTTCTTATTTTCAGTTAGGATTATGATCTATCATTAGGATAAATAAGGATTAATGCTTTATGTTTGAATCTTTTCACAGCATATTAATTTTAGAATATTCAATTTCTATTCTCTCGTCACCTCCCTCAATACCTAAATATACACAGTTTCAACAATAACTTTCATTAAAATATGGGCTGTTACTTTTCTTAGTGATATTAGAATAACTAAGATGTACTTCACATATTTTTGACTTTGACATTATCAAGCCTATATTAAGAGCAGAAATATGCTCTTTAGAAGAAAAAAAAAAACATCCTAGATATGCATGCAAATGTAGAATGGGAATCACTAATTAAATCACCCATATCAAAATTTAAAATAATATTTTGGCTTAACCAATACATGTAAATGGGATTACTTTTAAGCATTTAGCACTCTATATTTAGTTCTTTGGGAAATGAAGACAATGGGAACAAGAGGGTAAAAGATTGAATGATAAAACTTCTTATACTAATATCAAAATCAAATTTTTAAAATTTAAGCCAGCGACAATTAAGCCATATATAAGCATATAGGCAGCTCTCTTATTTTATTGTCCTATTCTGTTTCTGTCAAGAAGGCAATCTTTCCTCTCTAAATTTTTTTGATGGGGCATATCATAGCTGTATTAGCATTTGAATTTGTTCAACCCATTTTACTTCACATATTTACATATTTAATAGATTTAGACACAGAATCTAACAGACATAAACTCAATGACACAATTTCAATGATACTACTAGGGGTCTGACAAAATTTGAACTTTCATGTCTTTTTCTTTTTTTCTTTTTCGTAATGTATTAGTTTTTCGTAGTGATATAAGCAGTATATTATATAAACATATATTAATGTGATAGAATGTTAACATTTTATACAATACGAGAATCTTCTAAGGTCGGAGGAGAACATGAAATAAGAAGGTGGTGGAGAGAAGTAAATATTAGGGGTTTTCTTCTCAAGGTCTCGTATGCATGGAGTGTTTTCCAACATGAATGTACTTTTATGCATATCATCTTTGAGGTTAAATATATAGGATTTTTAAGCATTAGTCTGTTTTATCTCTTACTCTTTGCTTATACATAAATGCCACTCTTTAGAGTTTTGACCCAAAAATAATCTATTTATTGTAATTATTTTGCTATTTTTTCACTTCTTTTAACTCGTTCTTTTTGAAACTAACTTCGAGAATAGTTCAGTTTTTATTTAAATTTAAGCACATTTTCCCTTCAGCTTATGCTATATAAAGTTGCTAACTTCAACGAATTCATCAACCGCCAAAAGTATTATTAACCTATTACTAAGGATTAACATCGGTTAAACTTCGACGTAACTGAGAAGGAACAAAACTAGACTCAGCATGAAGTCCGTACGTATAGAGACAGGAAAGAACCTAGGAAACTTGGGGTATCAAAATAAATGGGACATCTTTTGGAGTTTTTCATAACATAATTAAAAGAAAGTTGAACTTTAAACAACAAAGGATTTTGTTTTAGGCTTAATAAACCTAGGAGGAGTTTAAGTTGTACGTTAATCAATTCTCTAGTTATGTTTTTATCATTTAACTAGAGGCATAATGTTTTTGTCTTCTTTAATATCAACATTATTATTTTCTTATTTTTATCCAGGAGGAAAGATTTTCGACGTTAGTACTACAGTTTCTTTCTACTAATAGTCATAATCATGCAGAAGGGCAGCATCAATAGTGAAAAATGAAAAAACTTGAAGAAGGCATTAACAACACTAACTCTAAAGAAGTATCATTGCATATAATATAGAAATAAAAACGATATATATAAGATAGAGAAGGAGAAAAACCTCGAGCTAGCGTATTCGAAGAGCTTGCCAGCAGCAGAAAAGACTGTGACAGCTACCTCAGCATCACAAAGAGTTGAAAGCTCCTGTGCCTTCTTGAAAAGCCCTCTCTTCCTCTTCGAGAAAGTCACTTGCCTAGCTGCGATGTTGTCTATCTTCTTCATTTCTATCTTTGGTTTTGTCATTTTTCTGAAAAAAAAGGCAAAAATTGAATGTGTTTCTTCACGTGATAGCAAGGAGAAAATCATATGGAGGCATACATCTGAAAAGAACCATAGATTTCCTATGAAATAAACAATAATGCTAAAGTATTCTCCATGAAATAACAAAAAATAACCCTCAGACCAAACCATTATTACAAAAACTTTATATTTTTTTTTTCTGTGTGTGAAAAAAATAGTGGGACCAAACCCTTGAAGATGAAAGATGGTATCAGGAGTCAGATCACCAAGTGCTGCACTACACTAAGTAGAAGAAGGTGGTGGTTGTAACTTATATGCATGACCAAGAAGGAAAAGATAGAAATTTTTCAGAGGCACAAATACTAAACTGTAATTAGAAAGAGGAAAAAATAGAATATTCTTGGGAAAGAATAAGAGATAAGATTGTTGGTATCTAGAATATACTAAAAAAATAAAGGAGGTTCTCTTAATTAGAATCTTCAATCCATAACCTTACTTGGAAAGAAACCGGCATTAAAAAAGAGGTTGAAACCTTTCCAAAACACAGCAATCATCCATACAAATGTGAGAGAGCAAATGCAGGTGATTGCGAGAGATAAAGACTGAGCAGCTTGCATTTTGTAAATTACAGATTCCTCTTTCAGGCAAGTGGGAGAGAGCACCATTTTGTGAAAATTTCAGGTTGATGTATGTTACAGCTAAGAGGGTGTCAGTGGGAGAGAAAGATTGCTAGATTTTGCTTAACTCTCTCAGCTTCCTCTTTCAAAACTTGTTCAGCTTTACCTATTTTTTGTTTTTTTAACCTTTTCTAGCCTCATGCGTGGGATCAATGTTGTACCGTACCAGCCCCCCCCCCTCCTTTCTTTTTCTTTTTTGTTTTCTAGCTTTATCCTTTGATTTTATGACTTCTTTACCCTTAAATTATTGCCATCAAAATAAATATCTTTCTGTAATTTTATTGGTTAAAATATCTTAGTGTAATTTTATGTAAAGCTAATAGTCATAAACTTTTGTTCATGATATAAAAAAGACAATTACATTATTTTCCTTCTTTGTTTTGATTAATTTTTTTTAACACCAAGTGAAACAATTAAATAATTCATACATAAATAATTGCATAATATAAATTATTTTCATATAACATATTTTGTATATATAATAAATTGTAAAAAGAAATAATATAAAATGAAAATGAAAATTAGAAAAATCTATAAAGAATTTGTTTGAACAAAAAAGTTACAATAGAATTTCCCTTTTTTTAATATCACATGCCAGCAAAAATAAGCTCTAATCATTACGAATCAATATTTTCCTAAATTTTCAATAAAATTGTTTATAAGAGGAAACTTTAATTTTAAAAAAGGAAATTTTAATTTTTTTTAAAAAGAGGAAATTTAAATTTCATTTTTCTGCAGAAACATTTTAATTTTCATTTTCAAGTGTTTATTAATAAAAAAATGTTATTTAAACAAATTATTAGATGTGAAAAAAAAATTAATAACCCACAAAACTACATACAGCGTAAATAAAATAATATTACATTATGGTTATACGAAAAGAGAGTTTTAATTGTAAAATATAACTAAAATAAAAAAAAATTTAACCTACGCCTTAAAATATGTTGCTTTCAATTATTCCATGCAAATCTCTCCCTAATATTATTTAGAGAGTTACGTGAGTGTGTGCTCTAGGGTTTTCTAAGAAAGCTAGCTTGTGTGCATGATGTCTCATGTCATGTGCGAGAGTTTTGATGGTAGCTTTGTAGATCGTGCTTCACGGACTGTGGTTTGGTTTGTTTCCGAAGGGAAAATTCTTGGAATCAGATCAAGAGCACCAAACGGGATGCTGATCCACACGATACTATGTCGATCGTACCAGATTCCAACGTTCAAAAAGGTTCTGCTTGGTTTCCTACAATCTCGTGTGAATTCTATTAAGAATTTCATCTTTACGATTTATTTTCCTAGGAAAAAAGTTTGCATGTCTTCTTCTGTGATGACTTGAATTTAGGAACCCCGGTTCCTTAGGACCCAAAGCTATGGAATACTTTCTAACAAAAATGAAAAATCTTTTTGAAGAAGTGACAAATAATTTAAGTGCAATTTAGTTCTAGATTTTGAACTACACCTAAAGTGATACTATGTTTTCATTTTTGGACGACGAAGATGCGAAGAGAATGAGACTTGAAACATGTACCTTCTTTTTCTAAATTCTACTAAATGAGAGTTTAGTGCTTAATTGAATCCATGTTCTAAGTCTAACTCAACTCTAAAAACTAGTATGTGAAGGTAAGGATTGTTTTAGTCTTTATAAGCTCTTATTTATTTATATTTACAGTCGATATGAGATTTCAACATAAGTAAGTAACACTAGAACAATCGTAAGAAGAAAAATTTGTAGAACCAATTTTTTTTTAATTAAAAGTGGTTTAATATTAAATTTACGTCAAACCCTAATACTACGTTGAATTTGAGCTTTAAGTCTAAGTCAACTTCAAAAACTAACTTATAAGATAAAGATTATTTTAGCTTTTATAAATTCATATTTAGTTATATTTATAGTTGATTTGAGACTTAATCATGCACTAATCTATCTTTTTACATAAAAGATAATTTGATATTAGTGAAAGATTAAACTTTAAATTAGATGTTATATAATGACTTATCCGGTTTATTCAAACCAGATCATTTATAGATAATAGATTTTAATAAGTCAAATAAAAAAAGTCTGGATTCATTTTGAACTTTTAAATAATATCTAACCTAGTAAAAAGAATGAATTTTTGTGAGTTTTTTTTATATACTTTTGCAAACTAAGTAGCATCAAGCTTAATTAGATTAGATTATTTAATTTAAATTTAAAGTTTTAACCTTACATTTTATCTCACAAATTTGAGATACTTAATTAGACCAACTCATTTTATAACTCTACTTTAAATATTAGCATCTCATTTAAGTCTAAGAGTTAGACTATCAAAAACCTTGCATTCATACAATCTCTAACTCATATGAAAGCTCCAAATTACTTAAAGGGTTATGGTAGGAAGAATGGCCTAAGCACTCACCATAGCTTCAACCCTAGCAATTAAGAAACCAAAAATTGTCTAACCAATGCACCCTTTTATTAATCACATAAACGTCAAAATATTGAGTTAATGTTGCACTCACTGACCAAATTTTTATTATGTCTAACTTATTGCCAACCTAAACAATATAAATGCATAATTGCTAAACAAATTGCCTTCTAAACAATTAAAGTATTAATAATGCTAGCAATATATTCTTTGTAACACATCTCTTTCTGTCAGTTAAATTTTATTAAAAACTACAAAAATAATGTAAATTTTATTTATTTTTATTTATAAATTAATGTTTCTTTCTCGTAATTTTTATTTTTTTAATAAATTTTAATTAATAGCTAAGAGTGCGTGTTAGAAAGTATATTACTAGCCTTCCTGTTAAAGTATTTGAAAACTCGAGTATACTTTATTCTTTCTTATCCTTATTTTGCTAGAATTGATACTAAGTGTTGGAATGATTTCTACAGGCACCTCCTCCACCATAAACTGCCCAATGACTATGGAGCTTTGATCGACAACCAGCTATTAACAAGACAGCTACTCAGGTAAATTCCATAACAATATTATAATTGGAAAAAAAATGATAGTTAAATGCGAAAATAGGTCTTATTTAAAAAATTTAATGACTAGTGCTACTTTCATGAAACCTAATACAGATTAATGTACAGGAGGAAGAAAAATTTAGAGATGCAAATAGATTAAAAATAATAGCTTATGGTCGAAAATTAAGTCATACAGCCTGTGGTCAAGGAGAGCTGAAGGAATTAATTAATGCGTGTAAAAAAGTAACCCCTTTATATATATACTCATGGGAGGCCATTCAATCTTTTGACAAATTGTGTTATATATAGTCATGTGTATTTAAATTTTAAGTTTTCAACTTATTTTTTGATAAGTCTTGCTCCAAGCTCAAATGTCCAACCCAAATCAATAAGGGTAATAAAATAAGTAGGCAAGTTACAACGATAATACAAAGTCTTGTTAAATTAAAATATTTAATTTAATTTTAATTTCTATAAATATAAATTATTTCAATTTTAGTCCTGATAAATTTTTTTGTCAATACCTTTAATCCTCATCTTATAAGATTTTTTAATATGATTTTTATCGTTTATAAAAATTCTGTTAAGTGAAGACGTAGCTGTTATCTGAGAGCAGCAGCATCACTACTGTCACATGGCTGGTGTGCTGTCTTTTTTTGGGCTTTTTTTTTATATTTATGAGAAAAAATATTTAAACTTTACAATATTATGCAAAAAATTTTAAAAAAATCACCTATTCTATTAGTCAATTGTTAAATCTTATGTGTGATTCAATACTCAACAAGTCTCCTATTTATCAAATCATACATATTAATTTCTTATAAAATTGAATAATTTTTAAAATCTTGAGTGGTTAAGTTTTAAATTTTCTGAAGGAAAGGGTGCATCGTGGAGAAGGAATTAACGGAAGGCCTACAGCAACTGATCCAGGCCCAGGAAAAAGCCTTTGGTCCTACTTCCTCTGTAAGATTATCATTGCTTTTTGACCAAAAGTCAATTATCATTGCGTAACCAAAACCAAAGAAAAGATTAATATCGCTGTTTCTTTTTGAAAAGTGAAGGAATAATATATATATATATATATATATATATATATATATCATATGTTAAATTTAATAAAATTATATTAATATTTTTTAATCTTTTGTTGTTAAAAAAATCTTCATAAAATATAACACTTTAATAACCTTTTACTAAAAGTAAATTTTATTAATATAATTTTTTATTCTTATAATACTATTATAAAAACTATGTATATTACATAATTTAAATATTTGTAAATATTTAATCAAATAATAGCTATTTACTTATATATTAAATGATGTGTCATAGAAATATAACGAGGCAATAAAGTATTGATAGATATTTAAATTATATGAAAT